TTTCATGTGTTTGAGGGTCATGCCTTTAATTTCTATTTGAAGCGACCATCATCACTTTTTGTTCTTTAATGACTATAGTCATAACGTTGCCATCGATATTCACATGAGATCATTACCCCCGATTACTAACATTATCGTGAATGTCTTTTTCTTTGTTACGCTCTATCGTACGTGCACTACATATTTGGTATGTAACCGTTGCTTGTGCGTTATGGAACGTATGTCGTCATTAGCTTGTCGTGCATTTTTATGTATGGGATTATATCCTAAGTTTGCAGTTGCCTATTAATCTTGTTTTCAAGATTTCATTTGCAGTGGTTATTTCGCTTTTACCAAGGTCTTGCATGTGGACGAATGATGACAATCATCACAATCATGTGGACTGAGACTGTCACTTGTGTTTTCGGTAGGCATTGCCTCCCTTTTAAGTTTGGTTATACCGTGGTCGTTATGTGCAATGACTTTGCCATTGTCTTGCTTTGTAATGATAGCTGTCACGGCTATGAATATGGAGGACTTGCATCTGATTATTTTTAATGTGACTAACACTTGTTAGTGTGTACTGGCTTTGCCATTGTCTTATTTGGTAGTGGTTGTCGCTACCATGTATAAGGAGGTCATGCCCCCGAGTGTATTTAGTGTGAATAATACTCGTAATGTGCAATGGTTTTACCATTGTCTTGCTTAGTAATGGCAGTTGTCGCTGTTCTGTATGCTCTTAACTATTTTTGATATGAATGTCACTTGTTAATGTCAGTTGTGAACGTTAACATTGAGGATTTTCCTTTTGCATATTTTGCAGTGACGGTCGATGAGAATCTCATCAAAGTTATATATTAAAAAGATTATTCATTGAAACGCTCGTCCGCAGACGTGTGGCGAAGCATTACAATTTGAGTAGTAAAAAAGTATTGACGTCTCTTGGACGTTGTCAAATGTAAGGGAAAAACCAAAAACTAAAAACGAAAAAACTTGTCAAACCTAGAAGAAGTAGGTCTTTAGATGCAAAAGGTCAGGGTCATTCTCTAGTTGCGGAATCTTGTCCTATTGCTCCACCTCTGGCTCTTCGCCGCGGAGTGTCATTGGTGGGTTCTGCAGTTCCTTTCAAGGTTGTTTGGTAGCAAGAGCGAGAACTTTCTTGTTCTCCTTTGATCTCTTGCACTCCCCGTGGAGTAGCAAACTTGATTGC